ACGGGGGTACTGAGAACGGCAGGGCCCAAAGCGGCCGCAGCTGGACAGACACGGCGGGGATCAGTCCGCGGAGCCCAGGGACGTCAATGGTGCCCGAAAACCCACAGCGCAGGGGCTCTAAGGAGGCTGGGTCAAGATCCGAAAAGGTGGAGGCGACGAGAGGGACCGAGATGGACACCAGCGCGGGTCTGGGAGGGCGTCAGGGCGACTGCCCCGAGGCGAGGACTGCGGGCCTGGGCCGGGGTCGACGGCCGAGGGCAGCCCGCGAGCGTCCCCGCCCAACCGGACCGCCAAACTCCTTCTTCCGCCACGCTCCAGGCGATGGGGCCGGTCGCCTCAGACGCGGAAGGGGACGCGCAGCGGGGGCCGCACGCGGTCGCCGCAGGGCCGAGCGGCAGAGCGCCAGCCGCAGCCACCCACCCGGCCCCTGGCCGCGCAGCTCACCCGCCTGACGGTTTCCGTGGCGACCGCCGGAAGTCCCCGCGCCGCCCCGCGCCGCCGCCTCCCGCCCTCCGGGGCCCGCTGAGCTTGTGTGTCACTGGAGCGCAGGCTGGCCGCACACACGGCGGGAGGACCCTCCGGGAGGACCCCCGCCCCACGTCCCATCCAGGGCCCACCCATGTAAACTCCCAAAGTGCTTACCACTCTCTGGCACAGTACACCTTTTATTTGCTAGTTTACCTCGGCCAGAATCTCCGCGAGCGGGTTGCGTTTGCGATGGGGCACCGAGGGCGCTCGACCCCGCACTCTTTGGGCAAAGCCTATGGCCTCGCCCGGGCTCTGGCCCGCCGTGGTCACCCCGCCTCTGTGACCTCCAGGGGCGAGGACCTCGTGAGACCCACCCCCGCCGCGGTCTGCACAAGGGAACCTCCCGCGAAGTGACCTGCACCTGCCCTACTTAAAGATGGCGGCGGCACCGCCCACGCCTGGACCCGTGAGCGTCCCCGGAAATGACCGCGGGACGGCCTGCACGAACGGAAATACCCGAGCCCCGCCGAAAAAGTCCGAATAATCAAGACCTATCGCTGAGCAACGCTGGGCGGCGGCGGCGGCGGCGGCGACAGCAGCAGCAGCAGCAGCAGCAGCAGCAGCAGCAGCAGCAGCGGCGGCGGCTGCGCAAGCGCACAGCGCAGACCGGGCGAGAAGAGCCGAAGTGGGCAAGCGGCGGAAATATCCGAAGCGGTGGGGCGCCCGAGGCCGTTGCGGACCTCCGCGCCGAAGCCGCTGCTGCCGCGGAAGCCGAGCCTCTTCTAGTACACGGCCGCCGCCACCGCGGCCGCCGCCTCCTCCTTCCCCTCGAGCCGCACCCCCTCGCGGTGGGAGCGAGTGAACAGACAGGCGGCGCGGCCGCAGCTGAGCCTGAGGGGACCTAAGCGGGCGAGGGGGAGGAGGGAGCGGCCGGGTGGGGGCGGGGCCGAGCGGACCCGAGAAGAGCCGAGTCGGCCCGAGCGCCGCCGAGCGAGCCCGAGGCGCCGGGCCAGGCCGGAGCCGGACTACGGGAGCCGACGCGGGCCGCGCGGTGGGCGCGGAGCGGCACGGCAGGCCGGGCGGGCGGCAGCAGCAGCGGAGGAGGCCGCGAAGGCGGGTTCGAGTGGCGGAGGCGGCGCGGGCGGCGGCAGGGGGCCGGGTGGCCGGGGTCCCGGGCCCCGCAGCGGCGGCAGCGGCGGCGGCGGCAGGATGATCAAGCTGTTCTCGCTGAAGCAGCAGAAGAAGGAGGAGGAGTCGGCGGGCGGCACCAAGGGCAGCAGCAAGAAGGCGTCGGCTGCGCAGCTGCGGATCCAGAAGGGTAGGGGGTCGGAGGAGGGGGGGGGGGTCGGAGGTCAGCGCTTGGGGTGGGGTGATGTAAGAGTCAGGAGTGGGATACTGCAGTCGCCGGGGGTCAGAGATGTCAGAGATGTGGGGTCGGAGGTTAGGGCCTGGGTGTTGGTGTGATGGGGCATCAGGAGAAATGCAGTCACCGGGGGGTCAGAGATGGGGGGCCGAGTATGGGGCACTTAGGGTACCCGGAAAGCCAGGCGTCTTGCATCAGGGACCGAGAATCAGGGAGTCAGGCAGTGGAGGGCGAGTAGGAAGCTGGAGACTCCACTGAGCATGGGGGTCAGACTGGAACGTGAGTGATAGGCAGAGGAGATTGGGTAGGTGGTGGGCCAAGGGTTGGGGATAGGAGTCGGAGAGGATTTAGTGAAGTATCTTGGGGTCGTTGGGAATCTGAAAGTCAGATGGAGTGAAGTAAGTTTGGGGCACTGCGATTTGTGGGTCGGGGGTCACATGGCAATTTGGGGTGACACGTGGAGGAAGGAAGAACAGTGTGTGCCAGGGGTTGGAGATGGGAGTAGGGTTGAACTTAGACTATCATCCTGGAGGTGCTGGGAATCTCAGAGGCTGCTGAGAGGGGTACAGGAATGGGAACTCACATGTCTGAGGGCCGGGTGGGTCCCTGAATTTAGGGTGACAAGCAGAGCAGAGGAGGGACGGTGGAGACAGGATTGGTGAGGGGGTGATGGGGGGCAGGGCCCTTGAGTTTGGGTGGACGGGGGGTAGCAGCAGTGTCCACTAGAAAAGGGAGTTCTTGGCTGGAGAGCCTGGTGTTTGGGGTAGTGGGAGGCTCTTGGGGGCCACACAGGGGTGGGGGAATTTGGGAGCTGGGTTGGGGGCACCCAGCTGTTGGGTGCTGAGACTTGAGGCTGTGGATTCACAAGAGTTGGGCCTTACCTGGGCCAGGAGATGGAGCGTAGCCAGAGTTGAAAATGCGTGTTTGAGGCATGCTGTGGATCTAGCAGAGCGTGCCTGGACACTGGGAAGCAGAAGGAGCAGGGAGAGGGTTAGGGCTGTGGGGCACAGCCAGGACAGAGCCCTGAGGGTCCAGGTGGAGGCCATGGGTGCTCTGCTGGCACTTGGACCTGCTCTGAGTGCCCTCCTCTCTCCCTTGCCCACTCTTTGTTCCCCTTCTCTGCTTTGCAAACCCAGACATAAACGAGCTGAACCTGCCCAAGACGTGTGACATCAGCTTCTCAGATCCAGACGATCTCCTCAACTTCAAGCTGGTCATCTGTCCTGATGAGGTAAGGGCTCACTCAGTTGGACTCCCAGGTATGGGGCTGGGGGGGAATACCTTGAGTTGGGAGACCTAGTTTACCTGCCAGGCCCTGCAGGATGGTGTCCTAAGACTTTTTTTCTTTCCCCTCGCAGGGCTTCTACAAGAGTGGGAAGTTTGTGTTCAGTTTTAAGGTGAGTCCCGGGTGGGCAGGGATAGAGGGATAGAGGCATCAGCTGAGGCCCGCCCCAGCCAGGCGCTGCTAAGGCACCTGTCTATCTACTCTCTCTCCTTGGAGCCAGGTGGGCCAGGGTTACCCACATGACCCCCCCAAGGTGAAGTGTGAGACGATGGTCTATCACCCCAACATTGACCTCGAGGGCAACGTCTGCCTCAACATCCTCAGGTGAGGGCCCTGACTTTAGGCCGCACAGGTCTCTGTCCCTTCCCTCCCTCTTGTGGTCTGCGGTTTTCTCTCTCTTCATCTCCACATTTTCTTCCTCAAGCCTTGACCTTCGCTTTCTCCTTGGCCTGTCCCGCTGTGTGCCCTCCCCCTAGCCTCTCACATCTGCACTGTCCTGTGCCCTGGGCCTGATCTGTTCAGTCCCAGCAGGCTCTTTGTTGGCCATCCACTCACCAGCCCCTGACCCTGATTCTCTGTCCACAGAGAGGACTGGAAGCCAGTCCTTACGATAAACTCCATAATTTATGGCCTGCAGTATCTCTTCTTGGTGAGTAGGGGTGGGTGGGTGAGGCTGGGGAAGGTTGGCCCTCTCTGCTCTTAGGGCCTGTTGACCCCTACCCATACTGGCCGCAGGAGCCCAACCCCGAAGACCCACTGAACAAGGAGGCCGCCGAGGTCCTGCAGAACAACCGGCGGCTGTTTGAGCAGAATGTGCAGCGCTCCATGCGGGGTGGCTATATCGGCTCCACCTACTTCGAGCGCTGCCTGAAATAGGGTTGGCGCACACCCACCCCTGCCAGGGCCACCAGCCCCGGCGTCCCCTGCAAATATTTATTGGGGGCCACAGGTGGGGGGCATGGGGTGGCGGGTGGGGGAATCCCATGCCCTGGCCTTGCCTCCCCTCCCTGCCACTGGCTCCTAGTTATTATTTTTTTTTTTAACCACCACGTGATTAAGGTCGGCGCTGCCTCTCCCGACCCGCTCAGCAATGGGAAATGAATTGGCTTGTCTAGCCCCCAGCTGGGTGCTGTCCAGCCCCCCACTCTGGGCTCTGGGGTGGGTGGCCAAGGGGACTGGGTGGCTGGGGCTCGGGCACCCCACCCCTCCACCACTGGAGGTCCCACCAGGCTATTAAAGGGGAATGTTACTGCATGGCCTCCGCCTCTTCCTTCTGTGGGGGTGGGAGGGGCAGGTGATGTCCACCAGAGCTCTTGCAGCAGGAGTGGCGGGAGATGTGTAACCGGTTACAGGTGGCACTGGGGCACCCCTCAAGAAGCTACCCAGTGCCCTGGGGGGTAATAGGGGGACAACACCCCAAGCCTCAGGCTGGGTGGGATGAATCCCAATATGCGACCATCAAGGGGCAGGACCAGTAACCACTCGCTTCCTGCTTGGTAAGCCAGTATAGAGGAAAGTCCGTGCCATCTCCAGCTGTGCCCCCTCCTGCCATGACTGGACCCATCAAGAACCCTCCCTGGTGCTACCAGGTGCCTCAGATCCAGAAACATTAGGGAAACGTCGGGGTCCGTCGGATGAGCTGGGCCTTCCAGTGGGTGCGGTGGTGGGATCCGGGACCTCTGGGGTGGCCGGGCCCAAGGCGCCCGAAGATGCACCAACCCAACAGGGGGCTGGGATTCCAGGCCTGGCTCGGCTGGAACCTATGGAACACCCACAGGCAGGCCCCGGAGAGACGGAAGCTTGTGCGCATGCGCCTGGATGCCGGCCTGCTTGCGCACGCGCGCTCTTGTCCCCGCCCATCGTTCCGGGTGCCGGTGGGGCGTGTGACGTCAGATCATTTCTTCCGGAAACGGCGGCGACGGCAGAAAGAACCGAGGGGCTATCGTTGGTGGGTGCGCCTGGGAGCCGAGAGGAGCGTAACCCGGAAGCGGAAGCCGATTCCCGTCCCAGCTCCGGTGAGTGGCCCCTGCTGGGCCGCGGGTCCCGGGTGGGTGCGTGGGCGACGGCGTACGAGGGTCTCTTCGCCGGGGTGTCGGCTGCCTCGCCCGTCCACGGGACCCTAGCCCCATCATCGAGCCACCTTGCTCTCGGTGTGCGGGCCGCCCAACGCCCCCCAGGTTGTCCTGGATGAACAAGGCGCCCCATCGCCCATCATCACGTTCCGGGTGTACAGGGGCCCCCAAGGACCCGTTTCTTCCAGATCCTCAGAGCTCCCCAGCATCCATCATTTCCTTAGTGTGCCGGGTACCCCAACTCCCCACAACCATGTTACTCGCACCCAGGTTCCCTCCCCGTTCAGCACCCCCTCCCCCCCGTCCCCCGCCAATCCGAATGCTAATTCGTAGGTTGTCAGCTTCAGAACTCCTATACTCACTTTGTTCTTGGCATTCAGGCCCCCACAGTTGCCCTGTCCTTGGCGCTCAGGGTCCACATGCCCACCATTTCCCTTCTCAGTGCATCAGACTCCAGGGCCTCACTATGGTCTGGAGAGAGGCTGAAGCCTTGAACCTCCTTTGGGGCACTATGATGAAGGGCTGGGGTGGGTATGTTGTGGATGACTTTCAGATCTTGCTGACCCCACTTGTACCCATGGGGCTCCTTCAGTGTTCCAGGCTAGGTTTTGGCCTTCCATTAATGCTTCTTCTCCCTGCTTACCCCTCTGCATTTTGCAAGCCCCCCCAACTACCCCCCCCATACACATTGTGACCCTGCCTCTGCTTCTTGCCCTTTCTCTGGGGCCCACACCACTTTGCACCTAGGCTTCACACTTGTCACAGGTCCACTGGTGGGCTCCTGCTACCATGGATTTGTTGTTTGGGCGCCGGAAGACACCAGAGGAGTTGCTGAGGCAGAACCAGCGAGCCCTGAACCGTGCCATGCGAGAGTTGGACCGTGAGCGACAGAAGCTAGAGACCCAGGAGAAGAAAATCATCGCAGACATCAAGAAGATGGCCAAACAGGGCCAGATGGTGAGCTCAGTTGGGCACAGGCTGGGACACAGGGTTAGGTGCTGTGGTTTGGTCAGGCACTGCTAGAACGGTGGAGCGTGACAGGACACCAACAGGTGCTCTGAGAGAAATTAAGGGTGAGCGGGGCTTCCCTATTTTGGGTATCCAGAAAGGCTGCCCCCCAGGTGATATCAGAGCCACAAACCTTGAGTAATGAAGAGGATGAGCCTGTGAAGATCCACGCAACCAACATGTCAAACAGATGAGGCAGCAAATGTTCCGTGAGGGAGTGATAGGTGAGCTCAGAGTAGACAGTAGCCCAGACCAGTTGAAATCATGGGCTACAGTGGGAGCTGAGTCAAAGGGTTTAATGCAAGAAGGCCAGTAAAAGAAATGGAGACAGTCTGAACCAGCAGGGAGCGGAGCCTGTGACAGGTGACAAGTTTGAACCTGAGCAACTTGAGCAGCTGAGTTGAAGAGGTTCCGTTTCCCAGGATAGGCAAGGCAAGGAAGACGTTTGGGGAAGTCGAAAGCTGAGCTATGGATAGATTTATATTTGGGATAAAGTGCTTGAGGTGTGAGCCTTTGTGAGGTGGAGGGAAAGAAACTCTTCAGCTAGGACAGAAATTCAGGAAGAGGTACTGTAAGTCAAGGGAGTGTGACTTTAGATATGGAGGGAAGAGGGTCCCTAGAGAAGAGTGAGCCCAGCCTTCCTTCCAGAGTCCGTGGGTGAGAGAGGTTAAGTGTACAAAGGAACCGGTGGAGTGGTGACCCAAGGCGCATGAGGATGAGGTTGGGAGGAGGGAGGGGGCAGTGACCACATGTAAATCTCTGAAAGCATCAGCTAGAATGGTGCAGTGGGAGCATCTTCCCTTGGCCCACTCCCCGACGTTTGTCCACTCCTCAGGATGCTGTGCGTATCATGGCAAAAGACCTGGTGCGCACTCGGCGTTATGTGCGCAAATTTGTGTTGATGCGGGCCAACATCCAGGCTGTGTCCCTGAAGATCCAGACACTGAAGTCTAACAACTCAATGGCGCAAGCTATGAAAGGGGTCACCAAAGCCATGGGCACCATGAACAGACAGGTGCGCCTCTCCTGTTCCCCCACCCTCCCCCACAACTAACCCCCAACTAACCCTCCCCACACCCCACTTCCAGCTGAAGTTGCCTCAGATCCAGAAGATCATGATGGAATTTGAGCGGCAGGCCGAGATCATGGACATGAAGGAGGAGATGATGAACGATGCCATTGATGATGCCATGGGTGATGAGGAAGATGAAGAAGAAAGGTTAGGGGACACCAGGTGTGGGGAGGATGGGGATGGATGCCTGGTCCTCGCACATGCCTGGCCCTCACAAAGGTCTTCTCTCTTCCCAAGTGACGCTGTTGTGTCCCAGGTCCTGGATGAGCTGGGATTGAGCCTGACAGACGAGCTGTCAAGTGAGTGCACCAAATTTTGGGCCCCGTCCCACCCAACAGTCCAGACACCACCTGACCCCCCCTGCTCCCAGCATTATTCCTTTCTACAGGAGCTCTCCTAACTCCCCCTCTCTGTAGACCTCCCCTCCACCGGAGGCTCCCTCAGTGTGGCTGCCAGTGGGAAGAAAGCAGAGGCAGCAGCTTCAGCCCTAGTAGATGCCGACGCAGACCTGGAGGAGCGGCTCAAGAATCTGCGGAGGGACTGATTGCCCTATACCACTCTGGGTGGGAGGTGGGCAGTGGATGCCCAGCAGTTTCACTGTACTTCTGTAATAAAAGATTGGACACTGGTTCCTAGGCCTGTGTTGACTGGCCTGATGTGGGCCAGGCTGGGGTCCCTTGGCACAGGTCCCATACAGGGCTTGATAAAAGGGCAACTGACAGGCACGGCAGAAGACCAAGTGCCAGATTCATTGAGGCGTAGAATAAGGAAGGCTGGATTGCTTCCCAGTTTGTGGCAGGAGTTGACAAGTTGTCTCAACAGGACGTTCAGGGTTTGGGAGCTTAAGATCATCTGTGTGCTCTGCTTCAGCACCCTTCCCAAAGCCTCTAGTGCCTTGGCCTCTAGTGCCTATCACCTCCAAGACCATGGGCTTCCCGGATACCCTGAAGCCTGGGCTCATCTGCCAGGGATCCTCAGCCCACCCAGCTCACTGTGGTGCCATCTCATTATGAGAAATGGTTACACCCAAGTCCAGGAAGTACTCAGGAAGAATAGCCACCATGCAGCATGTATCTGGGGCTACGCACTGCCTGCCCAGAGCAGCCTGGGCATTACCATCTACAGAGGCACCCAAAACCCTCCAGCCGGCATGTGCACCATGTGACCCTCCCATCCACCTGAGGCACTCTCTACATGGCAAAGGCCAGGAGAGATGCTCTTCCCCACTCCCTGGACACAAAAATGGCTGAAGACGAGTGCCCCACACCTACTCCATCCACTGGGGCATGATGAGGGAATTGCAGACACCAGGCCCCAGGACCACTGCCCCCGCCCCCCCAACAAAGGCCTGAGGAACTGGTGAAGTTTTTATTAAATCCACATAAGTAAAAACCATATCGTGAGGGACTGGGGGATGGGGCCACCAAGTAGGAGCCAGGCCACCAGAGGGGGAGGTTGTGGGGGGAGTGGGGGGGGATTTGACAGGACAGAGACAGAGTCAGGCCGGGTTGGCCTGAGAGGCCACAGACTCAAGGGCCATCACCAGGACCACTGGATAGCTCCTGGGCACTCAGGCCAGCACCAGGCAGGCTCAGCGGCGGGGGCTCCACCAGCACAGCTGAGAACTTGGTGTCACCAAAGGCCTCGTTCATGCGAGTCTCAAAGAAGCGCTGCAGGCCGATGATGGACTGCACGTCTGCCTTGTCCTAAGCCGGGCAGATGGCAGTGCGTGGGTCCTAGCTCTCCCTCCTCCCACCTCCCCTTGCCCTGCCCCCAACCCCAATCTCCCCAAGCTCACCTCTGTCAGCTTGTTGAACTGCTTAAACATGCGGCCCACATCCTGGGCAAACTCCTGAGGGGAACTATAAGGGGGTGACAACTTCTCCTGGAGACGGGCACGGATCAAGGTTAGGTCCAGGGTGCCGCCAGGCTGATCCTGTCGACAAAAGCCACAAGCTAAAGGTGAGGCCAGGCACTCTCTCCCTGTACCCTCCCTTTAAGTCCCAAGACTCACCAGGGAGAAAGTGGAGTCAGTAGCCAGCTGGTGCAGGGGCCGGCAGGGCTCGTGACAGAACAGGGCCAGCAAAACACGCTCACACTTCTATGAACAGAACAGGGGACGTCAGAGCCACAGAGGGAGGGGTAGGGCTGCTGAGCAAACCCCTAAGGAAGTCGGCCCCCACCCTCACCTGCTGGTTGGCTGGCGAGAGCTTGGCCACCACACCGGTGCTATCACCACCATCCAGGCTCAGGCTGCCATCCTCCTCTTTCAGATCGGGTAGCACATGGCAGAGAGCGCAACTCCACTCCTCCCTGGATGGAAGGAGAGTGAGGGGCTGCGAAGGACCTGGCCCAGCCCTCCACCCTGCATAGACCCCACACAAGCCTCGCACCCTGGCACATCCTGCAGGGCAGGCAGGTGGCAGTCCAGGTGGAAACAGAACTCGCACTGGTTGCACATGACCAGATCGCCTGGCTTCTGGCAGACACGGCAGATGGTGGCACTGTCATCCAGGGCACCCGGGCCACCTGCTGGGGCTGAACTGCCCTCTGGAGCCACCACCTCCAGACCTGAACTGGTGCTGCCACTGGGTGAGGCCAGGCGCGGGCCCTCAGCACCAGGGCCCTCCGCCAGGGCCATCAGCACAGGCTTGGTCTCAGGGCCCTCGGTGGCAGCAGGCGGGGCTCCGATGGCAGCCTCTGTCTCTTCTTCCTGCAAGAAGGTAACAAGGTAATAAGGTGTTCAGCAGGGTGCAGACCTGGGTGTTCGTCTCCCACTCACAATCACTTGAGGCAGGCTCACCTTGACTATGGCCATACCAGGCAGAGGCGGGGCCCCAGGGGCCCCGGGTGGAGCTGTCCCAGGCTGTCCAGCTGCAGCAGCTGCAGCACCACGCTCAATAACGATGAGATTGTAATCCTCAGTAGTGCTGCCTGGGAAGACCTTGAAAACTGGTGGCTGACTATCAGCTGTGAGATCCAGGTCCAAGCGCTCGAGGCTCACCCGGGGCACCTTGCGCATGAGGCCACTCACCTCGCCCTCACCTGAGCGGGACCTGTGGGTGCGGGTGCAGCACGGTGTCAGCACGCCTATCCCTAATCCCACCTGGCTCCACCAAAGGATAGCCAACTCACCGCTTCACACCTGACACATGGGGCTCTGCACTCGAGTAAGGATCGTCTGTTCGGAAAATATAAGAAAAACAACAGGTTAGGGATAAGCCTAGAGCACTGAAGCTCTCCCACCTACAAGGCACTCACCTGAGCCAAAGCCATAGCCTTCCTGCACCTCCATGGGCTGTGGGCAAAGTAGGTGGTCCTCAGTGGGCAGGTGTCCCATAGGACCCCGTGCCCCCCCGGCTCCCTACCAGGGTTCTCCCGCCCCCGGCTCACCTGGCTGCTGCCAGAGCCCTGCTTGCTCAAGGGCCCTGGAGCCCGAGGAGGGGCCATGGACGTAGGGCCTGTTGAGTTGGTGCCAGGACGCTCTGCCACGATCTTGCCTGCAAAAATGAAGTGAAATCAGCATGAAATGACCCACTGTCTGGAACAGTAGCAATATGCAGCAGGATTAAGAAAAGGACACACCAAAAGCCTCTGCACTCTTGGTCCAGGCATTGAGGTCCCACTGGAACTTCATCTCGCCATGTGGCTCCACAGGGTCCACAATCATCTTGAGGGCCCGATGCAGCTGAAAGTAGATCTGGAGATGGAGCAGTACATGAATACACAAAAAGCAAACAAGGCTGCAGGGTGCTGAGCAGCACCTGCCTGGAACCCACCACCTGGGTGCCCACCAGCACACACCAGCTTCTTGGAGAGCAGCAGGGCCGTGTTGTTGTCACTCTCCAGAGCCCATGAGGCAAAGCGCAGGATATGCTCCTGGTGCTTCTGGATCTTGGTCATGGTCCAGTGTTGCCGCTCCAGGCGCTCCTGCTGCCCTTCAGTCACCTTCTGCAGGTAGAGCAGAGAAAGCAATGAAGGAAAGCAGACACGAAGGATGGCATCGAGAGCCAGTAGATGGGACCCAGAATCCCTTCCCCACCCAAAGAGGGTGTACCTGGGCATCGTTGACCAGCACACGGCCCCGCTTGTTCAGTTCCTTCATGATCTGCAAGATGGCCATCTTAACATCCACCTGCACACGCTTCTGTACATCAGACACCTGGCGGATCCTGGGGGGGGGGGGGGGCAGGGTGAATCAGGTCAGGAACATGCTGCCCCAGGACTGCCCCCAACTACGGCCCCGGCTTCCACACTTACGAGCTGCGAACCTCCTTGGTGTTCTTCTGCAGCGTTGCATGCTTGTCCCCGAGGCGCTTCACCAGCGAGGCCAGGAGCTTGCGCTGGTTCCTCACTGCATCTTCCAGGAACTGGTATCTGAGAGCAGACAAAAGTGGGCCTTGGGTGCTGAACATGGGAACGAACAGGCAGCACCCACCAGCATCCTCAGTACTCACTGGTGGTCCTTATGGGCGTTGAGCTGGCAGTCCCGGCAGGTGAGGGTGTCACAGCTCTCGCAGAACAGCACGAGGGGCTCATGCTTGTGCACGTTGCAGTACACCGTACGCTCACCATCCCTTGACTTGGCTGGCCCTGGGGAATAGAAACCGTGAGTCTGAAACTCATCCTCAGCTACCTCCACCTCAAGTAGTACACAGAACTTGAGGCCTCATTTCCCGCCTGTCCTACAAGCCTGGGCTGTCTGCTGAGAAAACTCAAGGGCCCTGCAGCAGTGACCAGGGAAAAGCACAGACCTTTAAGACCAAATCCTTCGGGGCGCCTGGGTGGCTCAGTCGTTAAGCGTCTGCCTTCGGTTCAGGTCATGATCCCAGGGTCCTGGGACCGAGCCCCACATCGGGCTCCCTGCTCCGCGGGAAGCCTGCTTCTCCCTCTCCCACTCCCCCTGCTTATGTTCCTGCTCTATCTCTCTGTCAAATAAATAAATAAAATCTTAAAAAAAAAAAAAAAAAAAAAAAGACCAAATCCTTCCTTTCAAAATACTCTGCCCCGAGCCTGACCCAGACAACCACTCCCTCCTATCAGCTTGTGACCTGGATAACAAAGTCTGAAGACTTTGGTAGAGACCTCCCACTTGCTGTTCTGTCTAACAGAACCTTCCCCAGGTGGACACTCAGGAGAGCTCCTCCACCTTGAAAACCCCCACTGGGCTCAATTCCTCCTCCACTCGCAGCAGATTCTGTACAGCAGAGAAGGGAACTCCGGCTATTGTGGCATCCAAGCACAAAAAACGTTTGCTCGCTGGCACGGAGAGAAAGCAAATCAGGGGCTAGAGATACTGTTCAAGCGCAGCTTCCTCAGAAGCCGTGCCTTGGTGACTCCCCCTCTCTTGAGTAAGAGAAGTCCACAGAATTCTTACCACCCAAAGGCCTACAAGGGATCCAGGCTTTGCAAAGCCTTCTTAGGATAGGAAACGTGAAATGTCAGACCAAAATCCTCATAAAGGTGTCAGGTCCCCTCTCTCTGAAAAGAGGTTTCTGGTACTTAGAGTAACACCGCCCAAAGACCAATACACCACCCCGCCCCCAACCTGTCACCGTTACAAAGCTGCTTGAGACCATCTATTCCTCTTTCCTACCCAATCCCAATTACATCCTGGCTACACCAGCCCAGCCCA